CAGACAACCCCGTAACAATATGCGTTTTGTACTGCTGTTACACAGCACAAAACGCATAAAAAAGTTAAAAACAATGAGCTAACCTACGAACACCCACTCTACCACCATCTGCATAAGTGAACGTTATTTTATACATCTCGATCACTTCGTCAGCCCCTTCTACTTCACTCACCAAAATACGCAGATCTCGAAGCTGCAATCAACATGATTTACTACAGCTATGTGACAACCAGGAAATGCATCCACAAAAATTTCAGGTGAATTTACGATTGCTTTCCGTTTGCTTCTGCAACCCTTGGAAGAAAAATCTCTTTATCCTTGCCAGCTGTACTGAAGTAAGCCAAGCGGTATCGCTCTGTTCTCTTCTTCGTGCTTCCATCTGTTGGGCTGTACGATTTTAACAAAGAAATTAGGTACTCTACTGAATTCTCAACTACAGAACACCAAAAGGAGATCCTTACTGTGAATTATCACCACGAAGATATACATAAATTAGAGCCAAACAACAAAGCGCAATACACAAACTCTCGAAATAGCGATTCTCCTGAACACCAAGCGAAACTTACATAATGCTTAGCGAGTGCATGATTTGCGCCGGTAATTGAGAAGTCAAGCGCTTCGCAGACATCCACTTTGTACGAAAGCATTGGACACTCCACCCCTAAAAGTTAAGCGAACGTGTAGTTTGCGGCTAAGCATTTTAAGGTGCTGATAAGTTTCAGCACTGATGCAGGAATCCCTTCAGTGCCCAAAACTCATGCTTATTTTCTCATCACTTGTCTGAGGGGCTCAACGTTGTGTGCATTGCCAGTTCTTGCACTCAACCTCTACGGCTGTGCGTCTCAACATCGTTTTCGCGCACACAACATCGTTTTCCTCATCTTATTGCGTCACGCACATTGATGCGAGTCCGCGATGAAATTGACGCATCACAGGAATGCATTCAAAAAAGGCGTTAGTCTAAGCAACTAGTGAAACGGCCAATTTTTCATGAATGTAAATGCCAGTTAAGTTCAAGACCAAAACTGCTCTTGCCTAACTCGTCTTTACAAGAAGCAGAGACACTGTGAAGCAACCCAAGTGATTCTTCAATATCTTTTCAACTTGGCGAAGCGAAAGCAAAGAACAAACAAAAGGATGGCCAACCATCAATGACAGTATCCCGAAAGGCCGATGGTGGTAAGATGCGCCTTTTGCTCATCACTTTCAGTACAATGAGCGCTAGCATTCGCTGCATAAAGAGTGTGCGAGATTCTTCGTCATCCATTGATACCAAAAATAACTGCATCTTTTCCATTGCTTCTGCAATGCCTTTACCGCATGAAAAACGTTCGTATTCATAATCCACTCTCTAGCACAGGGCAGCGAAAATTAACGTGACCACTTAATGAAGCTTGCTAATTCCATGTGAGCATCCACAATCCAGCGCCATTTCCCCAAAAGTGAAGTGTCGTTGAAAGCGTGAACAAAGAAAATATCTTCAGTATCAGAGGCTCCGCTATACTTCACTCGGATTGGGGATGGAGAAGGCATTCGGCAGTGATTTAAATGAGAGCGCCTTGTCAAGGGCAACCAAGCCCTGGGGGTCCCGTCCTCTCTTGTAAGGATGCTCAGAAGCTGGCTTAACTCCGTGATATGCGCCGGCATCAATTACAAGCGAAATGGTCCAAAAAGCAGCTGGAAAGTTGTGCTTTTCAATATTCCACAGCAAATAAGTTTCTTAGGAATTATTTAATGTCGAAGTGTTACTGTCTAACTGCAGAGCTGGTGGCATGGTCCACTAAAGGTACGCGAGTGGGCCCGATGCGCAAAAAGGGAGTGGTATTGACGCGTAGGAAGGAAAAAAGTGCGCGAAGTAAGAATGGGGGTTGAAGTGCACGAAGTAGAGAAGTGGTCCTTACACAGTGAATCTGACGCGTACGAAGTAGGGAATGCACCTAACGCCATTAAGTGTAAGGAAGTAGGCCTTAAAATGAGCAGACCAAAACATCGTTCCTATATGCGCATATTTCCATATCGATGTACAATGTCGTACCAAATTTTTTACAAATAGGAAGGACTATGACATTTTCATAATCGAATTCAACCGAAACGCTAAATACTTACAGACTTCAGTAATTATTAAACATGACCCCAAACTAAATAACAAATCTGCTAGTAGCACCGGAAATCAGCAGGCTCAATTGTTAATGTGCTTAAATAACTCAGAAACTGATTTTAAGGATCATAATAAGAACG